TAACAACACGCAGTAAGCATTTGGGACTGAGGAAACTAATTGTTGAAGCTTTGTCGGTGGAATTCTTTTCTTTTCTCACTTGACGAACTTTAGTTTCTCAACAGTCCAAGGTCTCTGTTTTATTTTGTTCTTCATAATGCATCACCCATTTTCAATGAGAGACAGGTCTGGACTGCAGGCAGGCCAGTCTAGTACCTGCACTCTATTACCATGAAGCCACTTTGTTGTAACACGTGCAGAATGTGGCTTGGTTTTGTCTTGCTGAAATGAGCAGGACTTCCCTGAAAAAGACGTGGCTTGAATGGCAACATCTGTTGCTCCAAAGCCTGTATGTAGCTTTCAGCATTAATGGTGCCTTCACAGATGTGCATGTTACCCATGCCATGGGCACTAATGCAGTGCCTGATACCATCAGAGACGTTTTCCAAAAACAAGCAGAAATGTGGACTCATCAGATCACAGGACACTTTTCCATTTTGAGTCAGTCCATCTCAGCTGAGCTCAGGTCCAGAGAAGCCAGTAGGGTTTCTGAGTGTTGCTGAGATCTGGCTTTGGCTTTTCATGGTAGAGTTTTAACTTGCACTTGTAGATGTAGTGATGAACAATTTTCACTGACAATGGTTTTCTGAAGTGTTCCTGAGTCCATGTAGTAATATCCACTACAGAATGTCGGTTTTTAATACAGTATCACCTGAGGGATCGGAGGTCACAAGTATTCATTGTGGGTTTTCGGCCTTGCCACATACTTGCAGAGATTTGTTCAGATTCTCTAAATCCTTTGATAATATTAAGGACCGTAGATGAGTAAACTTTGATGTACTTTCCCAGTCTTTTGTTGACCCTGTCCCAGCTTTTATAAAATGTTGCAGGCATCAAATTCAAATTGAGTGAATATTTACAAAAAACAACAAAGTTTATCCATTTGAACATTAAATATCTTGTCTTCGTAGTGTGTTTAATTGAATATAGGTTGAAATGGATTTGCAAATTATTGTACTCTGTTTTTATTTATTATTTACATGTCCCAATGTCATTGGAATTGGGGTTGAYTAACTATAAAATTTGCTGTCATAGTGCTTCCTTTAAGCTAAAAACCAGAGACAGAAAGAAAGGTTTATTTGGTAAAATTTAAAGTAGGCTACCCCTCCCCTACTTGTTACTTTAGGCTGTCAGTCAGATGTGCATGGACACAAGATCAGAGCTCTTTTTTTAACTCGCCCTTCCTATTGTGTGTATTCCAAGCTTCAAAAKGTAGCATACCGTAGTGCAAAAGACCTTGGACATTCGTTCCCCTATGTTTGTTATGCGTCTTTCTCTGAACGGATGTTCTAAACTGCAAGTTCCTAGTCTGTGTTTACCACTGACAATGGCACTAAAGCCGAAGCTGACTCTGATAGCATCAGAAGGACATTTTTATCTCAATAACAAAGACAAAGTTATTGTTTTCGAAATTTTCATGGCTCGACTATTGAAGGAGAACCGCCAAAAATATTTTTAAGAAAACGCTGTTTTGAAACAGTTGTTTGAACGAAGCTATGAGAGTTAGTTTCTAGTCAAACAGCTTATTTCAAGCTTGCTATGAAGCCTAATAACCCGGATATTTCAGTAACTAACATTAGCTCGTCCATTTCCACTTTACTTTTATAAAGAAGAAAGAGGCTGGCAAGGAAGAATACCCACGTAGCAGACAGGCGTGCACCAGATCTAGTGCCAAGCTGACACTGCTGGCATGGCAAGTGGTTTATCAGCAGGATGTGGGCCAGGTCTGGCAATGATTGCGCTGTTTTTAGAATGGCATGCCACAACTGGCTCAGTTATTGTTTGTTTATTAGGCACAAATCTGTCAGTGCTTTAACTGGCCCAGGTGTGGTTTGTTTTTTGTGGGACTGGCCCATTGTGGACCACCTCTAGCAAACCACATCTGAGCCACCGTCATTGTTTTCGATATCTCAGTTGAGTGTCAGTGTGTTAGTGCACTATGTGGGCCAGAACTGGGCCAGATATATTTTGAAATGTGGGTATTCAGCACAATAAATACTTTTACTTGAGTACTGTAACATTAGCCAGCTCTGTGACTCTCCTTTTGTGATTCTGTGAATTCAAGCTATAGGTTTATATCACGAATATTAATATTCTAGCTATTTATGACAAAATTAGTTATCATAGCTACAAATATACTGTAAACTTTATTTTTATAGTATGAAATGTTATTTTAGCAGAAGTGTAAAATATTTAACAAAAATGTTCTATTTCTTTTTCCCTAAACAGAAAAAAAAATAATTTGCTTGAGATGCATGTCGCTCTAAGTGCATTAAACAAGTTATTAAGTTGAAAACGACAATATCCTCCGTAAAGAGCCTCAGTGGGACTGTTTTTCCCATCTCCATCACAACATGAAGCTTTAATTAACCCAACAAGGATTCTATCTTCTTTGACAACATCACCCAGAGGACTGCAGTTATTAAACCTTTGTAATTAAAAAAAAAACCTCATGAAATTTAGCCTGTTCAGAGTTTGAGGATATAAAAATGAATGCATTGGGGTCAATTTGGAGTTGGTGTTAAATACTGTTTTAACCAATTTAGAGAGAAAGAGAGAAAAAAGAAATGACTGAAGATAAAATGTACTGAAAATTGAAAAGTGTCTAAACTGGAAACTACTTTAAGGAAAATTATCCTAAACAAGGAGAAGAATGTGACGATTGTAACATAAAGAATGTAAGTGAGGCTTTTTCAGGTAAAATAAACTCTTAGAAAAATACAAAGTGAGGTTCTTTTTTTGGGAAAAGCCAAATGGTTTTACATTAAAACGTTCTGAGCTCAGAACGGCACATGTTGAATTTTGCCAGACTTCTACATCGTTTTAAAGACTTCGTAGTGCACTCCTTGACAAGTTTCATTTGAGACTGAGATCCAGAGCATGCAAATCAACATAAACAGGCTGGAAAACTCTGAACACAGAGAAGACAAATAAAATGTTCAGATGAAAGAACAGACGGGTCGATGCATGGCGGCTTTGAACTGATGTGTGGATGACAGCAGGAAGAAAAAACTGACCAACAATGGCTGAACAGACACATGAATGGAGACGGATGGCTAGTGATAGCTTCAATGAAATTTCAGGTTATTGACATGATGTTTTTTTTAATCTGCTGGATAAATAATCCAGAAGTTCAGTCGGCCTGTTATCTGGTCGTTTGCTCAAAAATTCTCAACCTTCTGTTTCTACAAAATACTGCACGCAAAACCCAGAAAAAACAAACATTAAAGTTCAGCTAATTTAATAAAACTTAAAACTCATATTCTTCAAAAGCAGCGATTAACGCAAAACCATGACACAGCACTTGAAGAAAAAAAAAATGGTTCGAAGTGTTTTTTTTTTTTGCCATAAATAAAAACAAGACTAAAGCAAAAATACACTCTGAGAGAAGCCTGGCACCACGAAGGATCAAATAAACTGCCTCGAGACACCGAACTAAACGAAAAACTCACACGAAATAAAGCTAAACCAAGAGGCCTGAGAGACAAAGGCGTCTGAAAGACACGATCAAACGGAGAGAAGAGACAGAAGCAGACGGAGAGGAGAGCAGATCAGAAAACTCATGTCGGTCGTCACATCAGAGGATTTTACAGAAGACTCCTCTGTGCTGCAGCAGCCGGCTTCTAATGGTGACCTCTACGGTTTTCTAGACCCCCGAAACAACACACACACACACACACACACACACACACACACACACACACACACACACACA